TGCTGGAAAGTTCCTCGGGTTTACTGTTCGACATAGGGGTATCGAGATTGAACAAGCAAAGATTGACGCCATAATGAAGATGCCTGAGTCGAGAAACCTTCATGAGCTTAAAAGCTTACAAGGGAAGTTGGCTTACATCTGAAAGGTTCATATCAAACCTAGCAGGAAGATGTCAACCTTTTAGTCGGTTGATGAAAAAGGGCATCCCATTCATGTGGGATGAGGCATGCAAGAACGCATATGAGAGTATCAAGTCATACTTGATGAAGCCGCCTGTGCTAACCGCTCCTGTTCACGGTCGCCCACTAATCCTCTATATCTCCGCCCAAGACAGTTCTGTGGGAGCCTTGCTTGCTCAGGAAAATGACAAGGGGAAGGAGAATGCTCTCTACTATCTAGTAGAATGATGACCCCGAACGAGTTAAAGTACTCCCAATTGAAAAGCTATGTTTGGCACTTGTGTTCGCATCAAAAAACTTAAGCACTACTTCGAGCTCATACAATCCGGCTTGTTTCCAAAGCGAACCCGGTGAAGTATGTTATGGCGAAGGTCGTGCTCTCTGACCGCCCTTGCAAGGTGGTACTTATTATTCCAACAATTTGAAATCATCTATGTGCCGCAGAAGTCTGTCAAGGGGCAAGCCTTAGCCGATTTCTTAGCAGACCATCCAATACCTGCTGAATGGGAGTTGTCTGACGATTTGCCTGATAAAAGATGTGCTTGTCATTGAAGTCCTACCCCATGGAAAATGTACTTTGATGGAGCTTCGCATAGAGAAAGGGCAGGTGCTGGAGTTGTCTTCGTCACTCCAGAAGGCGAGGTGTTGCCATATTCATTCACCTTGACGAGCAATGTTCAAACAACGTCGCTGAGTATCAAGCATTGATACTTGGGCTCGAAATAGCGGCTGACATGAAGCAACTAAGAATTAACATTTATGGAGATTCAAAGTTGATCATAAACCAAGTGTTGGGTCTATACGAAGTGAAAAAGGCGGAGTTAGTCCCATATAACAACTATGCAAAGATACTCATTGCAATGGTTAGGGGACGTCACAATTGAACATGTACCGAGGAAAGAAAACAAGCAAGCTGACGCCTTAGCCGCATTGGCTTCAACTATTGCTCATCCTGCAGCCCGAATACAAGTATGTCAAAGGTGGGTGGTTCCACCAATCTTTAATGAAGACGGCTCAGTTGATGAAACTGTTGAACTCCATACTGCCTCAGTGTATGATATAGGCAAAGACGACTGGAGGCAACCGCTAATTGACTACCTCACTGATGGAAAGTTACCTGAAGATCCCCGTAAAAGGGTGGATATAAAGCGTCGAACTCCTCGCTTCATCTACTATAAAGAAATATTGTATCGTCGTTCCTTTGATGAAATATTTCTCCGATGTCTAGGGGAAGAGGAAGCTTTACAAGCTATGCAAGAAGCTCATTCTGGGGTTTGCGGTGCACATCAATCCGGTCCCAAGTTGCATTTCCACATTAAGCGAATGGGATATTATTGGCCTACAATGGTAAAGGATTGCATAGACTATGCTCGAAGGTGCCAAGCTTGTCAATATCATGCAAACTTTATCCATCAACCACCAGAACCTCTGCACCCAACAGTTGCATCTTGGCCATTTGATGCTTGGGGACTTGATGTGGTTGGCCCAATTACGCCTAAGTCATCTGCAGGGCATGCCTACATACTAGCTGCCACCGATTACTTTTCAAAGTGGGTGGAAGCCGTGGCATTGAAGGAGGTGAAGAAAGAAAATGTTGCAGACTTTCTCCGTGTCCACATCGTCTATCGATTTGGTATCCCGCGATATATCTTAACAGATAACGGGAAGCCCTTTGACAACAAGTTGATGGACAAGATCTGCAAGCTTTTTGACTTTAAGCAGCGAAACTCATCAGCTTACTATGCAGCTGCAAATGGGCTTGCTGAAGCTTTTAACAAAACCCTATGCAATTTGTTGAAGAAAGTGGTCTCAAAATCGAAAAGGGACTGGCATGACAGAATGGAAGAAGCTTTGTGGGTGTATAGAACCACATATCTCACACCTACTCAAAGCACTCCATATTCTTTGGTGTATGGTGTGGAAGCGGTCTTGCCTCTAGAGCGCCAAATACCTTCCTTAAGGTTGGCTATACAGGAGGGTCTTACTGATGAAGAGAATGCCAAGTTACGCTTGGCTGAGTTAGAAGCCTTGGATGAAAAACGTCTGCAAGCGCAACAAAGCTTGGAGTGCTATCAAGCTCGTATGTCTAGAGTTTTTAACAAAAGGGTAAGGACCCGTTCCTTTCAAATTGGGGACAAAGTCCTAGCTGTTCGCAGGCCCATCATCGTCACGAGAAAAACCGGTCACAAGTTCACTTCAAGGTGGGATGGTCCCTACATGATTTTAGAAGTTTACACCGGTGGGGCTTATAAGCTAATTAGTGAAGATGGTTTGAAGATCGGTCCGATTAATGGAAGGTTCCTAAAGCTTTACCACCCTTAAACTTGGGGTGTCAACACAAGTCATGAAGATCTGATGAATGACTCATCCACTAAAAATGCAGCACGTGGTTAAACTGCTAATGCATCTCGCTTTGTCTATGGGTGGGCCCAAATCATAGACGCCCCTGGCCCGCATGAGTCTAAACTGTGAACGGCTCTACTTTGTAAAAAAAAAAAAAAAAATCATTTGAACTACGTTTGACTTGATCTCCTTTATAGGAGTACGTAGGCAGCTTAGAAATCAAATTATCTAAGTTCAGTCATAACAAAATCAAATCGAATTCATGTTGCAAGAGTGGGTTATCTAGACAATCCTTCAATGGGTGAAAGAAAAGTTGTTTGAATTATCGCTAAAGGACCGGCACATAAATGAGGAGCATTCAATTATCAAAAGTTAGAAACGAAACAACAAAAGTTCTTGCAATCAAAAGAGAAACTAAATGACAAAGAGTATCAGCCAATAAAAAAGCCTAAAGCTAAGCATATCGTCTTTGCACGCTTCTAAGCCTCTCTTTGCCTCCTTTAAGCTCGTTTCATCTTCTGGCGTCAGTACAGTCAGGTCCTTAATGCGGGCGACCTCTGCCCCAGCCTCCGAAACGGCAGTCTTGGCGTTGCCTAGGTCATCTGTAATTTTGGCAATCGCAGTGTCGCATTCCTCTGCCTTGGCACGAACTAACTTCAGTTCTTTCTCCAATTCCTCTTCCCGATCTTTTGTGGCCTTAAGCATCTTATGTTGGCCCAATAGATCTTTCTTGAGTTTCCTAAACTCGTCTTGTGCATTCTTCAGCGCATCCTTCGCCAGGGATAAAGACTGAGACTCGCTCGAAGTTTTGTCAGAAATTGTGGACCTTAAGTTATCAAAGGCTTGAGCTTTCGTGAAAATGTCTGCAACCCGTGTTTCCAAGGGAGAGATATCAATGTCTAACTTCCGCAGATTTGCAAAAGCGTTCAAAAAGCTCTCTTGCAAAGATGAAATCTGTTCTACCGAGGTGTCGTCCAACTTTTTGCGAAGCTTGTTCCAGACATTTATGACAACCACCTTAAATTCTTCCAGTACGAGGTCTTTCCCATCAAAGACAGAGACCTCAGGTCTATCTTGCTGACCTACGCGTGGCTCGTCGAGGGAATTCCCCGATTGGTGCGTGCTTGATGCTGAGGCATTGTTTGAATGTCCACTTTCTCCAGTATTGCTGGCTGCCACCCTTTTATTCGATGACTCAGCCCCTCCACTAGCAGGTATCGCCACATTTTCCTGTCAAGAAGTAAAAGAGGGTAAATTAAGTGCTACCGGCAATCATTGGGACAAGCGAGAACAATGATTTACCTCCACTGGGGAAGGCGAACGTCTGTCTCGTCGCCGTTTCCAGTGACGGTCATGGCTTTCCTCATCACCCGAGTCCGACCGTACCACGTCGGCCCTGTTTTTCGAGATGATATGCTCCTTTCTCTTCTTGGGTGGTGGTTCATCTCCCTGGACTGGATGTTTGCCCTTCTTGGCGGTGCCAGCCTCCTGCTGCACGTTGGCTGGATCCTCAGGAGCTAAACCCTTGATATTGCGCTCGAGGTAGTCCCCATGGACTTGGGCCCACCAATCTTTATAGCCCGGCGAGAAATACTTCTTCATGGTGACAGTAACTCGAGTCGCGGGAAATGTCACTCGCGACCCTGAACCCCTAAGTGTAGAGTGGCGCCAACGTTGGAAACCCTCCAAAAGCGTGACCTCACGTTCATCATTGCCCAGTATGCCAGAGCTGCCGTCTTGGTAGTAGCCGAACTGTCGGCTGAATCGATGAGGAGTGTAAGGCTCTGCGATACATGCATCCGCCCATCGCAATATGAGGTGGTTAGAACGAAGACACATGAGGTACTCGTGGTCGGTAGAGTGTGCGTCCCCATCATCGAGGAAGTGGAGATCTTTAGTTAGGCGGCGCGTCGTGCAGAGCCAATTGGCGCTGTCGGCTTTGAACATCTTACGACGAGCCTCTACTGGTCCATAATACCTCGCGCCACCCTCTCCAGAGTAGGCAATCATCAGCGGGGAAGCGGACATTTGATCATTTGCGAAATGAGTGTCGAAGTAGAACGACAGCCATCCATACACATAGTGAATGGGAAAGTGACTATCAACTGACCCCGGCGTACTAGAGTGCGATATTACATTCAATCCATTGTAGATGCTCGCAAGAACGGGGATCCCGAGGTTCAGTGTCTTGCCCGTCGCCATTAGACTAGCCATTTTGAATGTTTGGGCTCGAATGAGTCGCGTTGCTTTGATGGGGAGCACGAATACGCACAGCCAACAACTTAGGTATGCCGCCAAATGGGTCTCCTCCTCGTATTCGGAGGGAATTCCAAGCTCAGCAAAAGGCGCTTTGGTCGTTCTGGTCCAACCCCCGAATGCTGGGATCTTGCCACTTGGATTATGGGTGTTCCTCGGGCGAGTCTTCTTCTTATCCTCCTTCCTAGGCGGTGGCCTGTCATAAACTTGCGGTCTTCTGCTCCAGAATTCTATCCACTCAACAACGTGAACTGAACGACTTTTCTCCTGTTGCCCACGGCGACCACCTCGTTGCCTAATTCGGTTACCAAGGTGATAGTATGCTTGGAACAAATACTTACAACATTGAGGGGCGGAGTTGATGTCTTCCCCTGTTAATTGCGAGGCAGTTGGAACATACTCATCGTAGATGTCGCCAGATATCGGTAGACCGCAAAGTACATGCATATCCCAAAGTGAGATTGAAAGCTCACCGAGGGATGTAAGCAAGGTATTTGTCATGGGGCACAACGCTTCGCAGAATGCTTGGACGATAGGCGTCGAGCGGTCATATGTGAATAAGGAGGCATATACTCCGTCGTAGATGGTCACATCCTCTAGAAGTTTGCGATGCCGACTGAGTATAGCCTCAGTCCATTCCCAATACCCCTTTGTGAAGCTAAATTCACCTTTAAAGCTGGGGTGCTGATTCCATGAAGCCTCACCTTCAAGTATCCATCTCCCTAAAGTCGGGAGTGTGTCTGTGTAGTCCACATGACTTAAGCCGGTCTTCAGAACCCATGTTTTCGATGGCTGGGTGTCAGTGTCATGGGTCCAATTTTCCACTTTATATGGCGGTATCTGGGAAAGACGAGTTCTCGACGCCATTGGTGGGTAAACGATGAACGACATGCTATCTTTTCCAGTCTCGTCGCTTGATACTTTGAGCCTCCTCTTCTGATCGGCTCCCACGGTTTCCCAAAACACTACCATTGTTCAAAGATGGTTTGCGATGTATGAATCTGCATGAAAATCAAGAGGCCAAGTCCATAAGTAATAACAATTTGTAAAGCAAGGAAAAGTTCTAAGTCTAAAATCGCCATGAAAGTGTTCAAGGAAATTCTCGTGTAACATATATGTACATAGTACCCAAGGCAACATATTATATATATTGTATGTATACGCATACCACGTGTATATATATATATATATATATATATATATATATATATATATATATATATATATACTATATGCGTGTGTGCATATATATACCCACACAATGTTATGCAAAGCAAATATATAATATATATGTTACACGCACAACACTGTCAAAGTTAGTGCATCACATATATATTATTATATACATATGTGTACATTCACGCAATCATGAAGCAGAGGCATGAAGATGGGCTACACATTACATATATACATATATATACATTGCATGAGAAACAAGGATTATATATATTATATACATATATGTTAGCATGCAAAGAAAAAAACCATTAAACATGGCATGCAAAGTGATAAAGCAAAACCATTAAATGGGTATACACGTACGCACAAATAATGGTGACAAGAAAAAGAGGATGAGGTCTGTTCTATTCAAACCAAAGGTAGTCACGTGTATATTCATTGATACACGCAAGATGAGGTATAGGGAAGCAATGAAAAGAAGAAAAGGACCTGTTCTACACACGAAGTGCATACACAACAGAGTAACCCATGAACCAATGGGTATATGTATTATGCTTCGTATATATGTGAGCACGCCGGAATAAGAAAAGAAAACAGAGAGCGTGGCCATGCGATATGCTTCCTCTCAACAAAATTAAAAAAAAAAAAAAAAAAAAAAAAAAAAAAAAAGGGCACATGACTCAGAACTCAAAAAGCATTAGGTCGTATATGCATTTACATTACTTGGGCCATGCTATCGGTTAAGTATATGCACTTACACACGCAAAGTGGTCTACATATTTGGAAAATCGCACCACCCAGACTCTCAATATATACATATAGCACATGTTCAAGCATGGCAGAAAAAAAACTCAGAAAAAAAAAACTCAAACAGTCCAGCAGCCAAAAGATTTCGAAGCAGTGAAACAATATCTTACTTGGTTGGAGGGAGAGTTTCGTGTCTTCAAGATGCGTAGTCGCGTTCGAAGCGACGATAACGTCTGAACAAGCTTTCTTCTCTGTCAAGCTCGCCGGCGGTCGGTCCAAGCAGTTGGTCCTTCGGCGACGATTCTATGGTGCACGGCGAACTCCTGGGGCACGGGAAATTTTCTTTAAACAAAGGGGGAGGAGAAGAAACAAAGCATCGTTTGTTTCCGAGACGGTGGTTTCGGACTTCGTTCGTAGAAATGGAAGGGTGCCGGAGCAACACCGTCGACGGCAACGGCAACGCGCCGGAGCGCGTGCCCGACGATTACACGGCAGGTTTCGTCCCCAAAGGGCTAATGGCGCGAAACCAAACCATTCCGGAAAGAATCGATTTCCAGTCGACGGTGAGTTCAAGCAATGGTGAAATACACGGTCAGTTCCCAGGTGTTTCTACCCAATGCCTCACATATCTTGTTTCCTTTATTCCTCCTGTCAAAATAAAAGCAAGAAAAACAAGAAGATAGTACACTGGAAGAATTAGAATTACCTTGTTAGAGGCAAAATTGAAGGCTCAGCAAAATCAGTTGCAAGCAGCTCTGTGTCTTCGGTTGAAGAAAAAGAATTCATGGAGACTATTTATAGTCCTCAAGTTCGCTGGAATGGGAGTATGTTTAGGTTTTATCCCATCAAGTCGTTGCTCTCAATCCTTATCAAATTCATATTCTGCGGATGAATGGTGGGATTTTGAGCGAAATGGTAGGATGAAGCTGAGCATTAATTTTCCAGGTGTTAAAAATTTTTTTATTAAACATTTGATTAAAATTAAAAGAAGGAGAGGAAAAGAAATGGGCCTTTAATGTGATGTTGAATATACTATGGGTTCTGAATATTGAATATGGGCTACTATCAAACTGGGCTTCTACATGCAGATATAGACACTTGCAGTCTAAATGACATGTATTGAGTTGCTACAAATATGGACTCTTGGACTGCTACGGTTAATTTCGAGACTACCTTCCCTTTGCATTTGAGGCACATCAAGCAAGTCTCGAAGGGGCAATTTGTAAGCATTGAAAATTTAAATAGTATTGTTGCACCGTGGTGGATAATTGATTGTTAAATTAATTACTTTAATTAAGCTAATTAGACTGGTATTTATTTAATCGGGTTAATTAAAATGGCCCATTAAATATTTATTTGGTTTAATTGCTTAATTAAATGTAATTGGATGTTGGAGTGTTCGGCCCGAAACGATGAAATATTTAATTTAGTTGGACCGGGCTGCTTGGAGTAATTGGGTTGCTAATTAGCGGGTTTGACTTGGTCTTGGCCCATCAAAATTATATGTGGATTATATAATTTTGAGAAATTTGAATATTTGATATTATTTGGAAATTTAATGAAATCATGAACCTGTACGCAATGGTGTCCCGATACATTCCTTAATTTAATTAAAGAAATTAAATTAAATAAGGAATTAAGAGTTGGTTGGAGATTTTCTCTCACCCTCACCACTATAAATAGTGGTTTCATTTTCAAAGAAGGAGCTCTGAAAATCTGCATATCGAAGCTCTGCCGAAATCTCGCCAGGATATCGTCTGGAACACGCCCGCAGTTATATATACTGCGTATATTGCGCTGAGGAATACGCCACTTGAACACCGGAAGCCCTTCTTTGAAGATCAAGCTGCACATTAGCCCTTCATTGAGGAACAAGCTACTAACTCCGGAGGCCCTTCAGCAAGGAACTACTCCAGTTCGGCCATACTCCCGAACTTGGCATACTTCCAGTTCAACATACTTTGAACTCGGCACACTTCCAATTCGGCATACTCCGGATTCGGCCTACTTCAAGTTCAGCATACTCTGAACTCGGCACACTTCCAATTTGACATATTCCAAATTCGACACACTTCCAATAGGCATACTGCTAGTAGAGAATCAGAGGACTTCTCATATACAGAGATTGTACCCCTTCCTGTTTGATATATACTTGATACTACTTGTAACCGATACTTTGAATTTTGAATATATACAATTCAAGTTTTTCGCGTTTACATGAGTCTTTATGGTTCATTGGAACTATTTTGGTTTACCCGTTTGATATGCATGCTAGTCTTGGTGTCATTGATGCCAGTATGTGTTGTTTGTCTCTTTCAATTGAGGATGGGCAACTCGTGTTGCCAATCATGTTGATATGGATTGAGGTTCATTGTTGCTGTTGAGTATCGTTTCATGTCCTTCATTGAAACCCCTTGATTGAATCCCTTGATGTGATCCCGTGTGTATGATTATTCCTTGATTAAGCTATTGTTGAGCTTATCCTTTGTTGTACACACTTTGTGTGGAATCTAGGTGTTGTTGTATCTCTAGATTCCGTGTGTATTGACTCTTGATGAGATGATGGATTGGTGTGATGAGATGATTGAGCTGGTAAAGTGGACAGTGTGGGGACTTATGTGTGAACGGACCGGTAGTGAAGCTCCGGATTGCCGTTTGGTTACTGGTGACTTGTGGGCAACATGGGAAACTTATCCCCGTTGCCAGAGATGGTAACTAACCCGTTGAGCTTGGAATCTCAATAGGGGGTGTATACACTTAAAGTTGCTGGCTCTGTTTCCATTGAGCTGCGGTCCTTGTCATTGCGATGACATTATGCATGTGATCCGGGTCGTTGCGATGATTACGTGATACATGTTTGTTGATGATTTGGAGCCCTCCGCACTGATCCACTATGAATCGGGCCGTGGTGCTGACACCACGGTATATGACTTGGTGTGATAGTGTCCTATGTGGACTTGGAACTCGTTATGGTGTGAATCTGACCTTCTTTGCTAATGAGCATATATTGATGTATTCTACTTTGTGATCAGTAGAATACATCTCGAGTTGTATTGGTTACAGTTGGTATTCTTGTCTTGTTGTTGTCGTAAGGATGTTGATTTCATTTTTCCTTGAGAGTGTGAATGAGTCTTTGAAGTTAACTTCTCTCTATGGCTTTTGAAATGATATATACTGTATTCCGTTTCGAAAATGGTTTTGACTTAGACTTATCTATATATGCTACTTAAAGCGTGTTGATGGGTTACCAGCAATATTCGCTGACCGGGTGTCATCCCCTATCTTTATGTTGCTTTACAGGTTTTGAGTAGCATCTTGGAGAGCGCGCTAGCAGATCGTTAGTTAGTGTAGCTCCTTGTGACTGTTTTAGTTAGACTTTTGGCCTGTGAGCCATGGATTTTTATGAGTATGACTAACACGTTTGTTTAGACTTAGCCTGTGCACCTATAGATGTATAGGTGTGGCATAACATCTCCCGTACTTGTCTTTTAGCTTCCGCTTTACTTTAATCTTACTTTATCTCTTTCTTAAGCTTTAATTGCTTTTAAAAGTTGTTGAAAATCGGGGGTGTTACAACCACAGTCTGTATTGAGATGGGAGAAACCTAATCATGGATGGACAAAATTAAATGTTGATGCAACACTAAATTAAACCTGGAAACAAATACAATGGGTTTCGGTTGGGCCCTTAGGGATGAATATGGCCCTTTAATTGCGGCAGTCAGCTCACCTAGCAACGATGGATACTCTGCAAAGGTAGCAAGGGCCATGACGATTCACGAAGCACTGAGTTGGATAAAGCGACAAGAGTTTTCTAAAGTTTTAGTTGAAACATATGCATTATTTGTGGTGCAAAGCTTGAAAGATCTTAATGATGTGTCTTCATTTGATCTTATTACTTTAGATATTAAAGATATTCTAATTAAGTCAGCTCTTGTTAGTAGATATCTCTTTTGTTCAACGGTATGTGAATCGAATTGCTCATAGGCTTGCCCGAGAATCCCTTTCTTTGACTGATCGTTCGGGGTGGTTTGAAAATCCTCTTTCGTTCCTTTGTAATGATCTTTTGATGGATTTTAAATAATATATTCGTGTTTTGGTTTTTCAAAATAAAATAATAATAATAATAATAATAATAATAATAATAATAATAATAAACAAAAAAAAAAAATCAATAATTTTAATTCGTAAATTATTTTTCTCAAGTACATATAGTCACTCTCCTCTCCTCAACTGAAAATGACTGCAAGCAACATGTGGTCTACCTATATCTCCCCCCTTCACCCCACCACTCATATATAATATAATCTTTAAAGCCCATTATATGCGTGAATGTATCTTTCTGTGCGTTTGTAACATGTGTTTCGTATATATAGGAGAGATCAGATAAACATCTACACGTACCCCCACTCAATGCAATAACTCATCACATCTCTCTCTAGCTATCTCCCTCTTATTCACTTCATTTCTAGCTTCTCTTCGCTTTGCTTAGCTTGCCCCTCTCTCTCTCTCTCCCTCTGTTTATCTTTGTCTCTATCTCTAATGGTGGATCATTACCAAACTGTGTGCGCTATGTGCGGCGACGTTGGCTTCCCTGAAAAGCTCTTCCGCTGCTCCAAGTGTCACCGCCGCTTTCAACACTCGTATGCTTCTTAACTCGATCATTATACTCACAGTTCATGATCAAGCTAAGTACCAATTGAATTGATTTCATTAATTTTTAGGTATTGTAGCAACTACTACTACTACAGTGAGCAATCGGATCCGGTGCAGGTGTGTGATTGGTGCCAAAGCGAGCAAAGGAGCTGGAAGCATGGCGGCGGCGGCGGCGGTCCTTCGAGGAGGTTAACCGGCAGAAGTGATTCGGGGACCAACCGGTCGCAATATTCCGGTGACAAAATCAAACAGCACGACCGAGAAGAAGGCATGGAAAAGTCACCTGGGAAGAACCCTGCTGGTGGCGCTGCGTCGTCTTTGCCACGGACCCCTACTCGCCGGTACAAACTTCTCAAGGATGTTATGTGTTGAAGACTAGCTAGCTTAATTAATTAGAAACATATATATATATATATATATATATATATATATATATATATATATATAAAAGTTTTAGGTTTTTGTGCGGACTGTATTTCTACTACCTCGTGCAATCACTCACCATTAGGTACCCATAAATAAATCATAAAGTGTTCAGAAATACACCATTAGATGTAATGCATTTTGTGGTGTATTGATGCGGTTCATTGTGGTGTATTTCTAAATACTGTATGGTATATTTTTACATACTTAATGGTGAATCCGATTGCACAAAAAATACTATCCGTATTTGAATCAGTATATGTAATTAAATGCGACCACTTCACCTGTGAGATCATACTGACTTGTACATGAATGTACACAATCTATCTTGAAACATTTTCACATATATATATATATATATATATATATATATATATATATATATGGATGGTTAGTTTGTGGAATGCTATAATAACAAACCCGACTTGTTCCCATCTTCTAATTGCTAGCACTAATTGCTAGCAAGTAATCATAAGATTAGTGTTTTATTTCTTAAATGTGTTTTTTCAACTTACTATACATACAATACATATACATATATATATATATATATATATATATATACATATTTATTTATTTATGCTTCCTAGTGTAACCCTGCTTAGCTAAATTTGGGGCAAGGAAAACGTTTGTACATCTGCAACTCTCTTGGTATAGCTTTGATCAAACCAATGGTTTTTCCAAAAATCGAGTTTAACCCAACATATATGTTATTAGTGTCCTATTCCATAAATTTAGTGAAATTATTTTTGTTATTTTTTTTAAGTGACTAAGAAACATGTAAATATTATCTGAGAATGTCTACTGGTAAATCAATTATTTAACAAATTTATAATTGTTTGGTCTAAACTAAAAATGCTTATCAAGTTAATAGTCTGATCAATTTAATTTAGATTTTTTTTTTTTTGTAATTCATGTATATGTATAAAGACACCGGAATATTTATAAGATTTTGACAATGTTTGGTAACATAGTTAGTTTATCAGCCAATTCTGGCTAGTTTGATCAATATTAACTGTTTGACTTGGTTAAACAACTAATATGATCGTTTGATTAATTAGTTTTTTGTAACAACTTATTGCTCTAAAATGTTAAAATTTAAAAATTTATTCAAATTAATTTTTTCGAACAACTTTATGAAAAATCATTTTGCATGTAATCAGTTATTAGCTACCCGTTAATTTACCAAACATCTTTCTACTGTCAGTAGTTAAATCTACTAATTCAATAAGCTAATAGCTATTTATTACCAAACACCCCCTTTATAATTAAGTGCTATAGAATTCTACTTCATGGATTCCTTAATTATCTCTATTCTTTTATTTTTACTTTGTTATGTGGCTAGCATGATAAATTATTTTCATTATATAAGTCCATAAAAAATGTCAAAACATGAAAATTTTAAAGGAGGTAATAAAAGTGAGTAAAATTTAAGAATAAAAGTAGTGGTATATAGTCGAGTCGTACAAGCACGTAAATATATGTGTATTGATCTTGACTTCTAAGCCCTTGCTTTAGTTTGTCTTTTTCTTTTTTGATGTGCCCCTGTAAGGTTATTTTTTTAATTATATATATTTGTTACATGCATGAAAAAATGTGCCATTGAACAAGGAATTAAATGTGGTTGTGATGAGAAGGAATTGATGCAATAAGATTAGGACAAACCTTAAAATATTATTTGTAGGCGAGGGTGTACTTAAGTGTTAAGGAGGCAATCAGTAATTGGGATTCACTAAACAAGTATATTGTCTTGAGCAACCTAGATTTCTTAAAACAGTAGGATTCTTGTTGGGGATTGTCTCTGTCACTGTCATTGTCACGTGGGGGGTTTATCATTTATGTGGTGGAAAAGTTGCACCGTCTCTCTCTACTTTCATTGATTTGTTGAGGAGAATTCAATGCACTTTTAATTTGCAGTTTGGTTCTTTTGAAAATACCACTAATGCAAAAATCCACTGCCTAGACATTTGGCGACCCTCGGTCGAGGCGAATTATTTCTTGGGTGGTCGTCTAGGCGCCAGACTTGATTGAGTTAGCAGTAAACTCGATCGAACCAAGTCAAGTTAATTCGTCTAATTTAACAAGTTAAGATCGAGTTAATTCGGTCGAGTCTGTCTTGCTAATTTTTTAAATTTTATATATATATATATATATATATATATATATATATATATAGTGAAAGGTTCCCGTGCGGTTGAATGCTCCCCGTACGGTTGTGCGGTTATTAATGTGCGTGAGATTTGTACTCAATGTGCGTGAGTGTTGTGTCTAATGTGCCTGAGATTTGTACTTAATGTGCGTGAATGTGTAAAATGCAGCAGAAAATATGGATATCAGCTTCTTCCCCATCCCCAGTACCTGCACTCTGTGAGTTGCTTCAGAATAACTTCGATTATTGGGTTGCTCATAATTTGGTATGGAATATGCTGGCGACATCTGAGATGGTTGTTGATGCTCTTTTTGTTCTATCCAAGATGAAAGATTTGAATCTTCAAGTTTCAATAACGACATATAATAGTGTGTTGCTCTGCTTTACTGATATTTACAATGAAATAAAAGCTTCCCAAAGTGAATACGCAAATTCTATCCTTATCAATGGTCTATGCAGACCGATCTTGGTGCGAGAATCTGGAACTTCTGTTGTTTGCTTCAATTCCAGATTGTTGAAAATTCTCTTATTACTCACGCACATTAAGCACAAATCTCACGCATATTAGCACAATACTCTGGCACATTAAGTACAAAACTCACGCATATTAACATGACGCACATTAAGTACAAATCTCAAGCATATTGAGCATAACACTCACGCACATTAAGTATAAACCTCACGCACATTAATCCACCGCACAACCGCACGGGAAGCAACAAATGCACCTGATCCCTTCCCTATATATATATATATATATATATATATATATATATATATATATGTATGTATATATATATATGTATATATATATGTATATATATATATATATATGTATATATATATGTATATATATATATGTATATATATATGTATATATATATATGTATATATATATATATGTATATATATATATATATATATATATATATATATATACATGATTAGGTTCCTATGTGAATCATGCTTCCCGTGCGGTCGGTGCAGATTGCACCATTAAGTATACATAAATGTACCATAAAATGTCTGAAAATACACCATTATGTGTGGTGCATTTTTTGGTGTGTGGTGCATTTTGTGGCATTTCATTCTGGTGCATTTTCAAACACTGTGTGGTGCATTTATGCATACCTAATGGTGCAATCCGCACCGACAGCACGGGAAGCACTGTTCACACGGGAAGCACTATTCACACAGGAATCAAAATCTATATATATGACGACCACCACACATGCACTATTTTTTAAAATAGTTAGCTGCGTACGAGTTAGGCGCTACTTTACCGTTCGACTAGCACCTAGCACCTACTGCAACCATGAAAAATACTATTTTTACTCTTAAATTTTACTCTCAACTTTTACTTAGCTTCACAAAATTTTAGTGTTGATATTTTCTTTAGAGTTTACAGGATGAAGATAATTAATCATCTATTATCACAACAAAGAGTAAAAAATAATAGAGTAAAAATAAAAAGTACATGTACAAAACTCGTTCCTTTATACCTAAGAATTCGTAGTACTTAAAGCTCGTAACTTTTTTGCTTCTTCCATGGGGAGGGTTTATATGAGGATAGGTCCTTTTTGTGTGCAAAATATATAGATGAAAAAGTGTATTAAGTAAAATTGTATAGAATCATGAGTAATTTCAAAAAAAAAAAAAAAAGAAGTAAAATTGTATAGTGTATATATAAAAGTTTATTATGAAAAAGAATATCATGTAAAATTAAAAAGTGTATTTGTTGTTGAGTAGCACATTCATGTATTGTAGTGTGCACATGTTATTGAGTATGGTAATTTTGCGCAGTCCACATTTACATGTTTTATAGGGAGGCTTATTTTTATTTATCTAATCCATCTCTTTGAAGGTATTAATTAGGGGTGAACATTTCGGTTTAGATTATCCGAATTGAAATAAATTGAACCGAAATCAAACCTGCACAATTAGGTTTTAGTTTATAAATAAAAATTGATCGGTTCTATATTCTATAAATCGAAATTTAAATTGAACTAAAATTTAAAACTAAATGACTTCATTTTTTCAAAAAATGAAACCAGACTGAACCAAAAAAAACTGAAATGAAAATCTAAACGCCTACCCCTAATTATTAACGAGATTCCCTTCTTTAATTATATTAAATTAAATTAATGAGTTAATACCCAATTTAGTACTCGACTATAATGATTTTTCTCAATTGATATAATTAAGCACAAAAGTTGTTTAGGACTAAATTGAGAAAAATCAGTATAGTCGAGGACTAAATTGGGTAAAACTATTATAGTAAAAAACTAACTTGAGTAAAAATACTATAATTGAAGACTAAATTGAGTATTAGTAGAAGTGAGATTACCAAGTTATTTTAACATATGATCGACTCAATTGAGAAAACCATCAAAGTTAATAATTTAATTAAGCACAAAAAATCGTTTATAGCTAAATCTAAAAAAAAAAACACTATAATCGTGAATTGAATTGAATATTAACTCTTAAAGAAATATTAATGCACAAGAATGACAACTCTAAGCTAACGATATTTATAAAAATCCCCCCTCCTCCCCACCCACCCGCTTCCAGCAAATTATTGTATGGACCATGGTCCACGCAGTGTTATGTAAAACATAACAAAAAGTACATTTTTAATATACTAAATGTACATTATTTATATACTAAATATACATTATACAATATAATGTACATTCAGGATACAAATAATGTACATTTTTAATATAGTAAAATTACATTATTTTTGTATTGAATGTACATTATTTTACAGTATACAAAATATAATTTACACAGCTTGTGTGGACCATGGTCCACGCAATAATGATTGCCTACTCCCACC